TATATATATATATATATATATATCTTACCCATACAAAGAAAGAGAGAGAGAGAGAATGACCTCTACAACATGGCAAACACGCTAATAGTTCCCGATTCATCTGCAACCACTACGAGTTGATCCTCCGCTGCGAGACCCACACAACCGGGCGTCCCCGCAAACACTGGCGGTAACACATCCGCCGCCGCCGCCGTTGCCGTAAATCGAAATCCATCTATTCTCGTTGTTGTGGATGTAGTATTAGTATTAGCAGTAGTATTAGCTGCTGTGGTTGTGGCGGTTCGTCTATCCCACAGCAGCACTGATCCATCCGCGTGGCAGGAGAGCAGTGTGGTGCTGTGCGGCATGTGCAGACCCGTGACGGGGGCCCCGCAGGCATCGCTGTGGTCCACCGCATGGTGATAACTCTTCTCCCGCACACTCCCGCCAACCCGCATGTCCCACGCGACCACAACGCCCTCCTCCGTGCCCGCCACGATGGCGTTGTCTTTCACCGCGAAGGCCGTGAGGGGATCGTGTGGACTCCACTTCCACGCCCGCACAACACTCTCCTGCGGCCGCAGCCGGGGATCAATCTCCAACATCGCATGATGACAGAGCGCCAACACCGCAGAGGCATCTCCGTCAATCTCACGCAGCTGCAGGACGGGAAAAGTAGATAACATGGGAAGTTCCAGTGTCTGTTCAACAGAGAGACGAGTGCCGGTGAGTCGCAACGTCTTCAATGCGTTTACCGCACCCTTCTCACCGCCACAAGCCACCATCACACGACCTCCACAACTGTTACCTCCATCACTTCTATACAATCGTGTGGCTGCAGTCCAGAGTCTACCATCATCTTCCAACGCTTTAGGCAACTTTCTGTATCGCACTTCCACACTACCATATCCCATATTATTATCATTATCATCATCGTCACTGTCATCATCACTTTCCTTTTCCACTGTACGACGGTAGACATATGAGTTGGCAACCGTATTCTCCTTATTCCCACCCTTTACAGTGGCACACTGCACTACACAGTGAATAACCCCATCCAGTGAGCGTACCAGTGTTAAGGCGGTAATACTGCTGCTACTACCACTACTAGCACTATTTTTACCAGGCACTCTTGCGTGTGTGAGGCGAAAACTCGCGGCATCTGTTGGATTGTCCCATTCCAGAAAAAATATACGGTTCTGTGGATCAAATGCTGCGGCCATAGCGACCACAGCCGCGGGATTTCCATCTTCACCATCTGTCGTCAAGAGACTTAAATGACGTGGAGATATGGGTAGATACCGCTGGGCCAGTAGTCTAAGTGACATGTTAGTTCTTTCAGTTTTTTTTTTTCTTTTTTCTTCTTTTTCCTTTTCTGTTTCGTTCTTACTTCTTTTCTTCTATTAAAGTTTTCCTTTTCTAGTTAAAATGTATGTAATATTTTCCTCTCTCTCTCT